TCATAATAATAAGACTATCAAATACATATAAGGTTGTTTCTGTGTCAAACACTGTTCTAAGTGTTTTACAAATATGAACTCATTTAATTCTCACAACATCCCTCTGAAGTTGGAACTATTACTTTCTCTATTTACAGGTGAGGAAACTGAGGCATGGAGAGATTAGTGCCTTCCCTAATATCACAAAGCTGGTAAGTGGTAGGGCTGGGATTCAAACCCAGGCAGTATGGATCCAGGGCCTGTACACTGTTATATTCCAATTTTATTGGAAAACCATGATATACTTTTGATATTTTTTAATAGATATTGAGTAACAATGACAACAACATGTTTCATTTTTGCCATCAGTAGTGTGTGTGTATGTGTGTGTGTGTGTGTGTGAGAGAGAGAAAGAGAGAGAGAGAGAGAAAAGTGAAGAGCGAGGGAGGAGGAGGGTTGGGGGAGGATGGATATTAGTTTGAATGGGAAAAAAACAAGGAGATGTGGAAGAGATCACATAAATCACATAATTACACTAGTTATTTGGGGGGAGTGAGAGTTGTGTAAGTTATTTCACTTTTTACTTTACACACATCTACACTGTTTTAATTTTTTACAAGCATGTGATCAAACATACACACACTGAAAAACTAATTTAGCTTTTAACTACACTCTCTGACACAGCATTTGGTTTAGATTTCCATTATCCTGAGAGACAAGATCAGATTCTTCCCTGTTCTCAAGCCTAATGCGTTGACTTTCATGTAAATATATTCAATACATGTTGTTTGTGTTTTGCTATTGGGAAGTATGTTGTTTGAATCACACCTCTGTGTTCTCTCAGACTCTGGGATCATTATAAACTCTGCCAAGATTTTACTGTTTAGCAAGTTTTGATTGGCTCTCTAACTCAGGGGTTGACCAATTTTTTTCTCTCAAGGACAAGAAAGTTAATATTTTAGGCTTTTCGAGTCATAATATCTCTGTTGCAACTACTTCTGCTTCTATAGTGTGAGAACAGCCAGAGAAAATATGTAAAGAATGTGCATGACTGAGTTCCTAAAAAAATTATTTACAACAGCAAGTGGAGGATTGCCTTTGCCCTAGGTCCATAGTGTTTTAACCCCTGCTACCCAGGACAGTGTCCCATATTGAGAAACAACCGATTTACTTTGTTTTTAAGATATAGTCTTGGAAGTTCTGGAAGTTTTGAACATTTGTGAAGGTCTGATTGATATGTTATGAATTTATTTTAGAATTTTTAAGGTGTTGATCTAATTAGAATTGCCTTATCCCACAAAGCCATGGGGTTACGTTTGGACTCAGAATACATTGTGTTTTGTTAGACTATTTACAAACACTTTGTTTTTGTTTGCATAGTTTAATCCTTAGTAAAACTGAGATAGAAAGAACTCCTATCTGTGGGTTGCACATCACCTGCCCTGGACTACTCTGTTGGTGTCTTCTGTGTCTCAGGCATGGGGAAATTATAGTTGTCTCAAGCCTATCATGTGATGATTTTGTGCTTCTTTTACCACCCCTCACCACAGAAGAAAATCATCCCTCCAAGTGTGACAAATCTTGTAGACTTCCCACCCCTCTACGGTAGCCCTGTTCTTACTTGGTTATAACTCTTACTGAAAATCCTAAGTCTTTGGAAACTGGGTAAATGAGTTATTTCTTTATTATACCTCCTCTCTGGGCTACCTCAGCCAATTTCCTTAATAACAAGTCCAGAACTTGTGATCTGAAGTATAGTGCAGGTCTTCTACCGCTTCCTCACTTTAGTAAGAGAGCCCAGATCTCCAAAAGTACCCTCTTTAAGGGCAAAGGGAAACAGCTTTTATTTTCTAACTATTTTAAGCTCTTGGCCTCCATGGTCCTATTCACCATTCCTCCCAAGGAGCTGTGGGGTGCTTATACAGTCAGGACCTTTGGCCACTCCATTATTATTCAATAAACAGTTGATGGAGAAAACTTTCTAAGTATAAATAGTTTATAGGCTGGGGTGTAGTTAATCCCCCAAATTTGTAGCTTTCTTCTCTCTAATCCCATGAAACTGATATCTAAATTCTCTTTGGAAAAAGACAAGGACAAATCATCCCCATCTATAGTCTTAACCATATGTTTGGAAATATATAGAACACAGTGTGTTCCATAATTTTAAAACCAATATTTTATTGCTTACTTTTAACCTCTCTCCTGTGGACAGAGTTTATAGACAAGAAATAAGTACTATTTTTCCTTCCTGCACGATCTCAGACATGCAATTATCTATTTTAATAAATTTTAAATTAAAACAAACATCCATTGCATAGTATAATGGTTTGGATGTTTGTGCCCCTCCCCCCCAAGTTTCATCTGTTGAAACCCTAATCCCAATGTGATGGTGTCTGGATGTAGGGCCTTTGGGAGGTAATTAGGTCATGACTGTGGAGCCCTCATAGATGGGGTTAATGCCCTTATAAAAGGAGGCCAGACAACTAGCTTGTTACTTTCTGTCATGTGAGGACACAACAAGATGGAATTCTGCAATGGAGAATAGGGTCCTCATCAGAACTTAACCATGCTGACGCCTCAATCTCAGACTTTCAGCCTAAAGAACAGTGGGAAATAAATTTCTATTAAGTCACCTGGTTTGTGGCATTTTGTTAATAGCAGCCCAAGCTGACTAAAATATATAGCAAACCTTGTCTTTCATTGACAACTTTGTTTTACTCAAAAGAGGAAAGAGTGTGGATTTCCAGAGAGAAGAAACCAAAGCTAAGGCCATTTAGAATGGGTCATCTCATTTCTGTGTCTGGTGGCCAAGAAGAAAAAAGGAAACCCCTTGAGAAAAGAGAATTCTGTCTGTGAAGTCATAATGTCTAGAGGCTGCAAACCTTAACTAAAATAACAAAATTACTTGAGGCCTGCAATTTGAACTTTATTTCATATCTATTGTTAAATAACACAAAACCAGTGAATGATTTGTAAAGCTACACCATTGGACAGATGTTTACAGTAGAAATTATGGAATTTACATGATGCTGACAAAAAGATATATTTATAATATCCCTTATATACAATAATCAGTACAGACAGAAAAAAATGCACTTCACTTAATCTCTGCAAACCATGCACACCACGGCAACAACACAGAATGATCTTCTTTAACAAGCTTTTCCACTGGCTCAGACTTCATCCTGTTTTCTAATAGTAACTGTCAGTTTTAAGAGTAAACATTATCAATTAAAACTGAGGAAAATTGAAATACCACAGTGATCTACAAAATTTTTATTTTTAAAACACAATTTACACAAAATAGTTTTACTCTAAAATACTTTGACTTGAAGATGTGTTTTATTTTTTTAATTCCTTTCAGTTTTTCAGTTCTCAGAATCCCTAGGACTGCAATACTGTCAGACAAAGCAAAATTTAGATATTTTGATACAACCTCAGAGTCAAGAAATTTTATTTTTAAACTCAAATACTCAGCTTCTTGTCCAGCTTGTGGCCATATTATTACACATGAAACTAGATCATGCAAATGAGCAGATTGTACAAGATATGACTTATGGTCACCCTTCTAAGCATGGCCCTCCTGAAAACAAATCCCACTTGTAGTTGCCTTGTTTGACTGACAGCAAGGGGTTAGGATAAATTCTTACAAAGTACAGCAAAATCTGTAAAATGCAAACTTCTTGGAATCACAATGCTTTATAGTACAGTGGGTTATGCACCTTTTTCCCCCTGTTCAATTCATAAACAATATCCTAAAAGTATTTATGAATAGACTTGCAATACTTTCCTCAGTTTATATGCTGTATTTAATCTCACTGCAGAACACTATTTCCTTTGGTTCTTTCTTAAAACTAAACCTTGTAGAGGGTTAACCCAAATCATCAGGGTACAGCTTTAGGTGTTAGTGAATAACTATGGCTAGCCTAATGCTTATTTTACCATTGTTTTTCTCTTTCAATTGTCTATAAGCTATCAATACGAAAAAGAAATAATGGACTAGAAATAGCCAGCCCAACTGGAAACATTATAATTAAAATGTACAAAAAGTAAATAACAATTCATTCACATTTATGTTCAATTCTATTTGATCGAGAATAATTTCAGCAATATTTTTAGACACATTATCCTGTTCAAAAATTTCTTGATAAGGCCCTCACTACACAAATATTGATAAGACAATGCTATGGAAAATCTTGACTTTTATCCAGGATTATATATCACAATAAATTCAGCAACACACCATTTAGATGACAAAGAAAGATTCTATAAATGGATTAGTTTGAAATGAGTACAACTCAGAAGCCTTAAAATGAATGAGAAACAGCACGAATGCCCAGAAAATATCTGGAAATTAGATCTTTATATTGGCATTCTATTTAGGGGGAAAAGGTGTTTTGTTAATATGAGACACACCCTGTTTAAAACCTTTGAAGAGTAGAAGGCAGAAAAACTAAAATTTTAAACATCTTTTAAATAACAAGATATGAGTCCTGTTCTACTCGAAAAGCCAATATTTTATATAAAGATACCCATATCTGGGAAAGACATTTTTGAAAAAGTATGTGTTTAATTTTAGTTTTTTATGTTTATATTCAAGCTTACCCCTGAAAACATTTTACTTCTAAGATTGAGTTTTAACACTGTATCATAAATTAAGTCAATTTTTTAGCACTAAGTCAATGGCTAAATTTTGTTTTCATTCTGTTTTTGTAACTAATTTAAGAACTTATTAAGATATCTAAAGAAAAATTTCTGGTGAGTCTTATTTGGTATTTGGATTGTATAAATACTCCTGCAAACAAACAAACAAAAAAGACAAATTAATTACATTTTGAAATTTGTTTTACTCACACACAGTATAGTATTTAATTGAAAGGCAATTGTAAAGGCAACATCTTAACTCCTTTTTGCTTCCAAATTTAAGGAACTAGGATGTGTTTGGACATTCTCATCTTTTCAGATTTGCCATATTTTTACTGGCGCTTTGGGAGGAGTGTGCAAAAGCCTTTGGGGGCCATTTAACGCCATTTCTCTACACTGACTATGTAGTCATTGGTGAAATTGCTGGTGTTGCTATCGCTCTGCTCTCGGCCTGGGTTCTGCTTCTGAATCTGAATCAGATTCTGAGTCACATTCTGATTTGCATTCATATTTGGGTTCTGACTTGGTTTCTGATTCGGATTCTGGCTCTGGACCAGCCTTTGGCTCTGGAAATGGATCTGAAGAAACCTTCCCTTCAGAAATTTGCGTTGTTCCTGACGCTTCTGCCTAGCTTCCTGATGTTCCTTCTGCCTCATAAACTGATACCTTTGCAAAAAGAGGTCTTTTGCATAGCTATACAATTCCAAATCCAGAAAATTCAGTCCCTCTATTCGCTTTTGGATTTCCTCATTTATCTCTACACTAGAGGCCCTAGTGGTATTATATTGGGTAAATGGCAAAATAAAGTTCATGTTGAAGGCTTTCTCAAACAGATACTGGGTCTTCCGCTGAAACTCAGTTAGGCCAAAGAATGCCATGTGCTTCAGATTTGATTTGGCACTTTCTAGAAGGACCTTGTTTCTTTGCTTTTCGGGCATAACAGAGAGGTTGTAGCAGCCTACTAGGGTCAGGTCAGAGAGCATGCGCACCTGGCGGTTGTTGGCTAGATTATAGGGACAGTCCATGAACTCTTTCAGTGGGCAGCCAGACCAGTCATCACCAGTGTAACAGCTGGGCAGCTCTTCAGAGGTTGGGGGTCTTCCATCACAGACATGCAGTGATGCTTTCCAAGTCGCGCCTCTCTGGACATGCCTCCACTCACTCAAGTACCGGGACACCGGGTCTCGAAGGATGGTGATATAGTGGAAGTTTCTATTGAAAAAAGCACAAAGACCAACAATCAGGGATCTGGATGACATAGTGGCATCAAGGAGGTGCATGGTATGTGTGATGTTCACTGGCTAGTAAGGAAGGCAGAAGAGGAATGATGGAGATCTGGTGGCATTTGTGCTGCCAACTGTGCTTTAGTATCCTCTCTGAGTTTCACTAGCCTGTACAGATAGCTAATTAATTCACCTAACTTTCTGGTATGAAAAGTTTAGGCCTAGACATTGGCCTTGTCATTCTTCACTCCCCCTTCTCCCTTGTCCTTTATCTCTCTCTCCAACCAATGACAAAATCCTTTCAATGATTTTCTAAGTAGGCAACCATTTTATTTCACACTCCCACCTCCAAACCCCCTTTAACTAATCATGAAATGGAGACTCAGTGAACGTAAGTGATTTTCTTGAAGTGATAAGGAGTTGATAAGTGAGCATAAATTCTAATCTATCTTTCTAAATATACAAAACCTTTTTCTCCAATATCTAGTCTAACCAGGATATCTTATTAAAAAACAAAACCTCATTGAAAGAGTGTCTGATGTGCTATCTTTGATTTTGGCTGTTGTCATAACATCATGGTTTATACATTATGGAAGTGGAAAGTAGAGATAGACAGAACAGCCCAGGGCCTCCAGAAATAAACATTGTGCTCAATCACTGACTGAAATGGACAGAATATCTGCTAACGCAAGCTAATACTTTGGTTTCAGTCTCCCCACACATGACAAATTTCTCTGATAGGAAAGTTAACTCTATAAGTATCAAAATACCCCTTTTCTTTACCCACTGAAAGGACACCTGGATGAAAGCAAGAGCAGAGGCTTAGTTGTATGACTATCTTCACTTTAAAACTGCAAACTGATAAAGTTCTTTGTTCAAATAGCAAAGTAGCAAACATTTAAACCACACACACACACACACACACACACACACACACAGCAGATATATATACACCCAACACATCCCAGGAACGTTAAGGCTTATTATGTGATCAGGTATAGGTATACTCAAGGAGAGAAACAAGTTTGGGGTGGGCTTTTAATAACAAATGAGTTTCCACTCAGGGGCAGTGGATAAAAGATGAGGTCATAGAGGGGCATATTGTGGAAGGAAAACAATAATAAACACTGAATGTTAGCATTTAGTTCTTTAAAGAAAGCTTGGGAAATGGCTTGAAGCTTTTCTGAAGTTTATGCATTTCCATCTGAAGGAATGGTATCTCTGCACACATGCATGAGGAGCCAGAAGGAACCAACTCTATCACCCAACTGACTGAGTCTATTGGCTGATGTCCTCCAAGGAAACTCTTCTCCTAAGTCTTGGCCTTTGAGCAACTAGGGCACCCTAGGAGCTCTCCTGTAGGCCTCTATTCTGTTCATGGTGTTTCCTCCACCTGGTGTGACATTCCTTCTTTGACTGGAAGATTCTACTCATCTTTCAAGTTCCAATCCAAGTACTATCTTTCTTCTGAGAAAATTTACTCCAACCCTTGTTGTCAGCCATCACCTCTTCTCTGTGTCACATAGCACTTCCACACTGAGTCTGTGTTAAAACACTTTTGATACTGAATTGTAATTACTTGTTTGTATTTCTGTTTAAACTGTTTTCTAGAACAGGGGTTCTGTGCTATTTTTCTAAAACTCTCATACCATCCAATCCAACTTTGTACCTTGGCCTTTATACCTGATACAAAGCAGAAAATCTGTAACTCCTTTAATTGCTTATTTAATTAGCTATTCCAGAGATTTGGGAAACTAAGAAGGATACGCCTGGTTATAGAAAAACTGCATAATCTTCTAAGTGTCTTGCAAAAATCACAGAAAAAAATTTAATCACTTCAAATACTTTTCTGGAATAAACAAGCATGGACACAGAAGCATCTGGGAATGAGAATGGAGAGGGGACCAAGACCATCTTCACCTATCTCACTGCTTCTCCTAGGACCTGATTTAGCTGGTGCCACTAAAATTCATCTCAATAAAGACACACTGCTAATGAGTAGCAGCTTTTGTTCCCCAGCAACTTTTATCAGCAAAGGTGACCACTATTCCCATGGGTTCTGTTCTTCCACCCCTAATTTTGGTATTCATTCATTCAGTACATAATTATTGAGTCTTTATGCTACACCTCAGGTGATAGCTTAGTGACAATTAGTCTGATTATTTGAGAAAAAAAAAGAAATGTATGAAGTTCAGTGACACATTTGTATTAATCTTTCAACCAGCTTTTCCAGGCATGCATTATAATGGAGGCTGCTGGGTGTTTTAAACTATCGTAGTGGAGTCGCCTTCATGCTTAGCTGACAGTCCTTTTTCCCTAGTATGTTTTACTGATTTAAGCCTACAGTGACATCTTCTGGAAAATCCTAGAGTGCACCCCAGTGCAAGTCTGAGGCTCTCATTTCTAACAACTGTTCCTTACCTTTCAGAGCAGATTAATCACAACCACCAGCATGCCAAGACCAACGCTTTGTAAGTACCAGACCCACATGGAGAGAGAGAGGAGGCACCACAAAAGGCAGAGGCAGACATTCAGAGAATCTCTTATGTTCTTGATGTGTGACTCTTTTCTCTTGAAAGTCCTAAGCTGAGGGCAGCCCAATGTGGGCAACCTCATTCTCTACACTGCAGGGATTATCATGGCAGCAAGAGAAATTTGAAGAGCCTACACATAGGCATGCATGCACGTGCGCACACACACACACACTGCCCTGATGATAACAGCTACCCTACGTTCAGGTGACAATAGTTCTGGAGATGCAGTGACTGCCAACAGCCCCATTCTTCCAGGGAATATAGGCCCAGAGGCCCAGATCGCCACAACTAGAAACACTTGATTCTGCTTGAAAAATGATCTCATAAGATAAAAGTAAGATATGCTGAAGGGTAGATCTCCAAGAGTGTCCAGTGATCTCCCAAATTGCATAGTGTGTGGGTATTGGGGAGGCAGTTAAGAATAATACCTGGGAGGTTTAGTTGGGTGAAGGATTCAGGATGCACATTCTTCTGAGGGAAGCATTGTTAAGGAAATGTCAGAAAAGCAGTCTTCCCACCCACAGCAAATGAGAATATGAAAGCCCAACCTTATGAGAATGTATTGGGAATCAAATAGGCTCAGGGACATGAGTGACATTTTTCCAGTGGTCAATTCAGTTCAAGCACCTAATGTATGCCTGGCACTGAGACAGGCATGAGGGGACACTGATGGGAGTAAGAGGCGGAAACGCAAGGGGAGTATTTCAATGTAATGTGCTGTTAATGTTACAGCAAGTACATCAAAGCAACTTGAAGTGATTCTTAGCCTAAACTGACAGAATAGAGGAAGACTTTCTGTAGCTTTATTTTGAAAAATAAGAAAGAATTAGATGAAGCAAGAATAGTGAGATAGAGTATGAGGCAGAAAGATTAACATGAGCAAAGGCACAGAGGCACAAACTATCCTATTGTCTGTGGAAGAGGTGCAGTGAGACATCTTACTGGGAATTATGAGGTATGGTAAAAATTGACGATGAAGGAGCAGCAATGAACCTGGTTGTGGAAGGCCCAAGATGCAATATTTAAGAATTTAGACTTCTGTGGGCAACAGGGAGGCCTTTAAAAGTTTTAAACAAGGATGTGTCATGATGAGATCTGTCTTTTAGAACGATCACTGTGTATGTGTGTGAAGATGGAATTAGATAAATTAATTTAGGTTAATGTAGAAAACACGACCAAAGAAAGGAGGCAAACTAAAAAAGTATTTGAGAGGTATAATTAATAAGACTTTGTGACAAAATGAATGTAGGTGAAAGAAAGGAGAAGTGGTTAAGGATGCCTCTCAGGTCTCTTACAGAATGTTTGAAGTGCCTGTGGGACATTTAAAAAGAGAGTTGAATGGATAGATCTAGTATGCAGAGAGTAATCTGGGCTTAAGAAAAAGATGTGTTGTCAGCAAAAAGTGGTAGTTTGAGATCGTGAGGACCTATTTATGAATTTTAAGATTTTCCACACATATGGCTTCAGATATTTAAAAGACAGCATTTAATACCCTGAGGTTTCTCTTCTTTATGGTAAATATCATTTTCAACTATTCTCTACACAGTTTCAAGTCCCCTCAGTGTCCTCTTTGTCTCTGAATATATCCCACTTTATTGGAACATGCCCTCCAGGCACAGTCTGACAAGTAACAAGTAGGGACAGTCTATCCCCACTCTCATTCTTGACACCATTTCCCTTAATGTGGCCTCATACCACATTGGCCTTTTTAGCAGAAACTCGACACCCCTGACACACAGTCAACTACATTTTTTCATTAATCCATATATATGACATTTTGAAATCAAGTCTACATTGTCTTAGCCTAATGTAGTTGATTTGTGGCCCTGTTTCTTTTTGTTAGAGTAAGTCTAAGCCTTTCAAAATGCATCTGAATTCTGATCATATCCCCCAATATTATCATCATATCTTGTAATTCCTTTCAGTAATTCCCATATCCAGGCACTGATCAAAACAGGACAAGATGCAGGTGAAAGTAGGTCTGGGGTAGTTGCTGGGAATCTCCTTTCAGTTTGACATAAACCCAAAGGTTGCTACTGAATGGACTGATTTAATTTTAAACAAGTGAGCCAAGTTCAGCCAAAGGAAAACCACACTCAGCCTGTTTAAGTCAGTAGTATTTGGATGGAAATACCTTGTGACCAAATATGTCACTTAATTTAGTTGACCAGGAGTCACATCTTTAAAATAGAGTCACGACTTCCCATCAATCACCTGGGTTAATGGCCATTATTTTATACTCGGTATGCCCTTACAGGCAGAACACAGTGAAATGTTTGCTACCCTGTACAAGTCTAAGCCAACTTCTTCCTCTCACTGATAAGTAACTGAGGAAAAATAGCAACCAATGAAAGAGTTATCCAAGCAAGAAACCTGGGGGTCATCCTGACTCCTCTATCTTGCTCATCACTAACATCTGAACTTTTCCCAAGTCCTGCTGACTCTAGTTCTTTTT